GCCATAGTTTCTCGATGCCAGTTGGCACCATTTTAAGCGAAACAACAAACCCGGCTCTCATGACTTGCATGCCTACGAATGCAAAATTGACGCTTGGCCAAGTGAGTTGCTAATGAAACACAACAGCAACAAAGGTTGTATTTCAATGTCTTGGTGATAAAAATGGTAGGAGGCTGGCAAATGTCACGAAAAAGAAGCTTCGCCAAGCGAGGCTTTTAGCAAACGATGGGCGAGTCAGGTGAACAATTCGGTATACACAATCGGCCGAACAAGCTGAACAAGCATAATATAACTAAGTTACTAAATAGGCTTGAGAAAAGTGTATATTTAATCGTAGATGTGAAAATTAAGGTGTGGTCTCTATTTCGGCCGTAATTAGATGGGTAAATGTTGGTCAAGGGAAAAAATTCACTTGTCTTCTAAACGAGTTGTAGCAAGCCTCACTGACGATGCCGAAGAATGTACCAAATCCTAGGTGGAACGCTAGAAATGAGCATGACTACTATGGTAAAGGACTTTGGACAAAATGCATTCATCTAGGTCGCTCTTATTGGATGGATTTATCGTATAACTATATATGCCTGTTCACAAGCCATACCTTCCGAACTCTATATAATCTGAGTAATTTTCTCATAGTCCATATAACATGTACCAAGTATTTTTCAAATTAAGTATTGTTTTCGTGACTACCGGTATATCAGTAATATGAGATGTATTTACCCAATTTCGTTTAAGGTTATGAAGGATTGGTAGAAGAAGAATTTTCCCACAATAATATGTAATGGAAACGTCAGCTCAACTCATATTATTGTGGGAAATATCTGCTTCTACCAGTCCTTCATCACCTTAAACGAAATTGGGTGAATAAATCTCATGTACCAAGTAGTGTAATGGAAAGAATCTAGCCCCCTTAAATGGCTTAGGGTGAAGTATTTTTTAATATATGAAGACCAAGATGTTGTGTCCTCTGTTATGGTCGCAGTCTCCTTTCGATTGATAGAAGTGGGTTGACCTCGTTGTCGCAACTTGGTCTT